AGGAGAGGTATTGCTGTGTGTTCTGACCCAGCAAATCATCACTCAGACGACGGGCAAACACAGAATCTGCTGAGTGTCTCTCAGTCAGCACATTTCCTAGATTTGTCGGCATCCTCGGACCAGCCTAGTAAAGCTGTCTCATTTTAAAATCTTATTTAAAACATAAGTGGAAAGAGATCTTGATTACTTTTTGGTTCCTTTTGACTCAACATTTTCCCTACACCTATTAATACCCTATGGCGATATTGTTGGTTTTTGCAGGAATAAGCAGAAAGTAGTAGTGAACTGGCTTAGGGTAGAGACAATCTTTGTGTCGTGAAGGAAAAATGGATCACCTTGATTTATAGTCCTTAGTTATTTATACAGTTGTAAATCCTGCGGAGGTTACATAACACATGAGACATCAGGGGTTAATGGTTTACATGAAACCTGATGGAAGACGCAGTGTGACAGGACATAAATTAAACATGACGGTATGACTTTGACATTGTAATTTGAATGAATTTGTGTATACATATGTACATATATATAAATATATAGAGCCCATTCTCCTAACTTGCCTGTATATATTATATGAATGATTAAATAAATTATTCAAGATTATAAGTATACATTTATATTGTATGTTAACATATATTAAGATGTAAAAAAAAAAGGGAGAAGGGGTCGGATTAAATAAGTGTAAACTTCTTCCGACCCCTTCTCGGACTTGTTATTAGCTAAAGCTTTGTTGTTTATTGATATCAGACAAAGATACTACAGATTATTCAATTATTAATTAAATGTTTTGTTTTGTTATTGCATTCATTTGTATATTACTGTATCATGTCTGTATCACCTTTTGTTTCATTTGTATTTTCTTTAGTTTTACACGCTCGAAAAAAATAAATAAACTAAACTAATACATTTATAGTATGAAACAATATTTCACAAATAAAATAAACATATTACATGCCAGTCTAGTAGGAAGAAGACCAACACGGTTTTGAATGCTTTCACCTTTCGCACAGTCCTTTTTAGCTTTATTAGATTTTTTCTGATTCTTGCCCAGTTTCAGCCATGACCAAAAAATACAACATCAAATATACTGTAAACTTCCCTAACATACTACTCACTGCTCAACTTTGAGGCAGAAAATAGCCAATGTTCTCACTAATGGTCTAGTTTGCTTATGTAGGTAAAATAGAGGCATCAGTACTAAAATGAGACTGTCTGTGTATTAGCTTTACAAAGAGACTTAAACCTGTGCTGCAGTGTGTTGTCTCTACTTCGTTCTGGTATGGAAGGGCTAATTTACATCTACATTTGCTAGGTTGTAGGTTTGTTAGCTTTTTCCTCTAAAACTCTTCACCTCTCTGAGGTTCAAATTAAATCAGTGTCTTTCAATCATCATGATTGTTTGTTGGTCGAACACTTTGAACCAGACTGAAATATCTCAACTACTTCTTGATTGGTTGACATGCAATTTTGACCAAACATGAATGCTTCCTGAATTATTCTAAAGACTTTGTTGATCCCTGACTTTTTCCTTTATCTCCATGATTGACATGTTTGGCTTTAGGCAAAACACTGAACAACTATTGTCTAATGTGCCATTCAAACTCATGTCCCCCTCACGATTAATACTAATAACTTTGGCTACCCTCTGACTTTATATCGTGTGCGCCATCAGAAGGTCACATTTTCAATTTGTCTTATACTTTGGTTTTATTTTTTTGGTGCTAAAGAGCCAACTTTAACATGCTAACATGCCTAACTAAGATCAGGCTCATCATACACCTGCTTCACATCCAATCGTTAGCACTGTATTTGTGATTTAGTCATGTTAGCATGCTAGTTTTAGCATTTTGCTCAAAGCCCCAATGTCCAGCCTCCTCACGATCACGAAGCCGCTCGTATGGCTGTGCGTCTTAGTCTGTTCAGTGATTCATGCTTTTATATGTTGGAATGCAAAAGTCATTCAAATGTTTTTGAGCTCAAGGGCATTCAAGAGGCTTTACATAACACATCTAAAGTGTATATGAGGATTTTTTGTGTACAGCTTTGAATGGATTTGAATGGTGTTCATGCTCAAAGGCAGAGCTCCTTCTATAGTTGGTGAATATAGTCAGTGTTTCTAGTTTCTAGCTAATCTTTTATAGGTTGGTAATTCTGGCACAGCAGAGGCATGTTGTGTTTTGTCCTGTGCCTCCTTGTGACCCTGGGACAGGAGGACAGGTATTCCCATGTGGCTGAGACCAACACGTCCTCAGTAAGTCCTGCTGCTCTTGCCCCCTTTAGTATTGCTGCAGGCACTGCTCTCAGACAGCAGCGGAAAAACAACTTCCCACCAGGCAGCAGCACACGAAGAAACTGGTTATTTGTAATTGTCACAAAAAAAGTCCTTGTCCTTACCTTGTCCACACCCCAAGGCTCTCACCAGTGACTCAGTCCAAGACAACTCACCTCCCCATGTCAGTGTGTGTCCTCCTTTATTATTTTTTATTATAATCACCTTCTTACATGCAAGTTCAAGGACAGCAGCTCTCCTTCCCTCTCAGCAATGGAGCTTTACGAATGTCCTTTGTAGGCTCGGCTCTGCTGTGCACATACACCACAGGTTCACCCCTACATCAGCGAGTTTTATGATAGATTTAAAAGAAGATTCTGCAGCTGTCTGCAGGAGAGACCCTCAAAGCTGCAAAGCCCCAAGTTAAGGGAATTCATAAGACAGGAGCTGCTGTATATACTAAGTTTGAGTAGCTGGCAAGAGATGAAGAAGAACAAATAGATGAGGGAGAACAGTTGAAACAGCAGTGATGTGTTGTTAGATGATTGAAGAAATCAGATGGAAGTGTTTGGAAAATAAAGAGAGGTCGATTTTTCAAGTTGGATATTAATCATGCATACAGTATAAGGCGCGTTAGTATTCTGAACAGAAATACTCAGAGCCCTCAGTGGAAAAACATAGCTGCTCTTCCCCTCTGTAATAAAATAAATTATGCGTATCTTCATTGCTGACCATGACCAGGGGAATGTACTGATGTTGACTAGTGTTTACTGCTTCATGAGCCCAAATATATGATTTAATTAATCCTCTAGCAGAACAGGCTGTCAACTTGTTTAACCTTGAGCTATACTTCCAATCTAGATAATAGATTGGATACATATTAGATGACCTGAAGGAGTGTTTTTGCCCGCTATTCTTTTGGGATAACACAAGCATAATATTGCAGAAGAAATGTGTGAATCTATCATTTGAGGAGGATTCGTGTTGTTGAATAATGTTATCCACTGAGAGAGCTATACCTTGAAGCCTGCTGAATCAGAAACTGATAAGATCATCCACTTTTTCTGTCTAGAAGGAGTAGACCTATTTAACTGTTTATGAAAGGGCTATTGAGTCCTTAAAAAGAAGCTTACAAAACTGTCTGTCAGGGAAAAAAACACTGGTGCAGGCATGGCCTCCATAACAGCATCATCTTTCACACCAAGCAGGTGCAGGTTTTATTTCTGTGGATGCCTCTGCTTGTTTAGTAGTTACACCAGCAGGTCTGATCTGTGTGCTGAGTAGAAGGCTGTTAGAATGGAGGGATGGAGTAATAGTCAAGTAAAAGAATGAAAGATGACTGAAGAAAGCTATAAACCACCTGAACCCAAACTGATCACATGGAGAAATCACAGCTGTTCATTAGTGATTGTGTTAGCTCATGGGCGATGGGTAGTAGTAACTTAACAAATGAAAATCTTTGGAATTATTATTTCAAGTAGTGATAAACCCATAAATACCAAATACTTCAATTTAGCAAATGTCCAATAAAAAATCAGCTCACTATCAGAATGTGAATTGACTCAATAATTGGATGATAAAGCCTTATGTGATTTAATAATTTCTTTACCAACAACAATTACAACGATCTGTAGGTGTGGAGTTAGGAAGAAGTGATTTAACCAGCCCTCTGAAGTCTGCTCCTCATCCTCACCTTATAAAATAACACACCTGAATATCAAGGCAAACTGTAAATGGATTGTATTGCATTGTGGGTAATGAGGGCCCACGGTTTGCCTACAATTTGAATAAAAAGGAAGTTTAGTTTGGTTCTGCTTCATCAATTTGAACACGATTTGACCATGAATCTTACATTGTTGAGTGAAATTCAAAATCAGTAATCTTTTAAGCATAACATTTATCAGAAATTCATACAGTATGTTCCAGCATGGTTTCCAACCTATATATCCTCAAAACATTATATCATCGTAATCAAACTTAGATTTTAAATAATGAGCATTAAACATTAGATTGTGTTCTAATGAGGAGAAATAAGGACCATCAGAGCGGCTGTACTGCTTTGACCAACATTTGCTTCAGTTATTACTACCATTAAGGCAAGGGTCATATCCTGCCTGCCGTTAATAATAGCATTTATTATGTACAAATAAAATAAAATAGTTACCACCTAAGACGTAAGACGAAGTGTCTAGTTCGTTTATGGCGGTTTCACAGAGCTCATTTCCATGGGCCCGCAGATGGCAGCAGATAGGGCTTGTTATAAATCTTTTATACTGCAGCACAGCCCAGCGCCTGCACATTTGCATGCTCATGTTTCAGGGTATTTGTCCATTAAGAGCTGTGGCCAATGCCCCCATTATTTCTAGTTGATTACCCAAGCAGTTGCATTTAGACCAAGGAGAAGTGAAGGGCAGTGGGCATCAGAGCATGGCCATGGGGAGCAGACTTCCCACATGGCACAAATGTATTCAGATCGCCGCTGCTTCATTCTGAAGATTAATGCCATTATGGATACTCCCACATCTCCACCTTGCATTCAAGTTTTTCCCCCTACCATCAGTGGACTCAGCTGATTTCACTTTCAATATGTTGTGACATTTTGACCGTAGCTTTGTTTGAGGGGTCAGTTTGTGCTGTTGGTCTCCCCCTCCTGACTGAAGGCATAGCTGATCATAAATGACGGTTTGGACTGTGTCCCTGACCTTAACCTACTCTTTGTCCCTGTTCCCAGTCTGCTCCCAGTTCTCCCGCGGAGTCTACGCCATCCTGGGCTTCTACGACAGGAAGTCCATGAACACGTTGACTTCCTTCTGCGGGGCGCTGCACACCTCCTTTATTACTCCCAGCTTCCCCATCGACGCAGACGTGCAGTTTGTCATCCAGATGAGACCCGGTTTGCGAGGGGCTGTTCTCAGTCTGCTGAACCATTACAAGTGGGAGAAGTTTGTCTACCTTTACGACACTGACAGAGGTAAGAGCTGGGAACATAAAACACACAAACACGGCTATGAAAACACCTCAAGCTTCCATTTTGAGACACATGAGTAGCGCAGAACATCTTATAGCTAGAGAATATGGAAAAAGTCTTTGGCACGCCGAGCCATGCTCATGCAGAGGTGTTATTATACAGTGAATATGATCAGTCTTTAATATGTAAATCCTCATCCCCAATCCTCATTCTAAGTGGTCTGATATAGTTTAATGTATGCCGGTAATGATCCTAAATTGCTTCACTACAGTATGTGGCTGAATGCTGCTCTCAGAGGGAGGCAATCGCTTCCGAGGAGTGAGTCATTCACAGGTGCTGCTGATCCGCCACCGGGGTACGGCTGCAGCCGCCTCTAATCCTCGCCACTCTCTGATTATCATTTAACTCTAATTGGATTATATAAAGACAGAACACAACATACTGCAACTTCTGCATGTGTTTCGTGGCCTCGAGCTCCCCTCATCTAGGCCAACTATTTTCAGACATGGGTCTTTGTCGTCCTCTGAGGGTCAGCATCTGGGAGGCCGAGTTAAGAAAGAGCACAACAACTTACTGTGTGGACCAGTGGACTGTTTTTAGCAGCAAAGATGGGAATGATGTCATTCCATGTGTGCGGTGTTACTGTGTATTTAAAGTCTCCCGGTAAATGTCGTGATTTTCCGGCTGCAGCCTCTGCTGGTAAACGTGCCAAACTGTTCAGAAGTGTGCATTCAAAGTATTTTTAAACTGACATAGAGCATTTCTAGGACAAGTGCACTCCTTCTTAACTCCCCCCCACCTCACGTTATACATCTCCTGTTCAGGTGGTTATCTTATCTACGCTAATGCACAAAAAACTGATTCACACAGAGCTGCTTTGCGGATTTTTTGACGCAAATGTAATGATGATTATTGTATGTATTTGGCAATTAACAAAACACATACAATTGCACTGTAATCATAACATTATTTTAACAATCAAAGATGGAAAAACGGCTTATTTCTATTGGGATTCTCTTGCACAAAACAAGACAAAAGCAACAAGAAAGCAAGTGCAGACAAAACAGTCAACATATACATATAAATAGCAGGGTAGCTACATCAATATGCTCTTCTCATCCTAATCAAAGACAAAAAAACGTTTAAGATAGAAAATGAATACGCTACATGGTCCTTTATAACAATTTATTTAATACCACTTCAAAAGTGCTCTGGGCAGTGGCGACGCCAGGGTATTTTTGTTGAGTAATCTATGGTAGGGCTAACCCATACAGTGGTGGGGCTCAAGTCAGTATTTGCAATGCAATTACATACACGCTCCCCTTGACAGTGAAACGCCACGCGTGAGGTTTAGATTATTTCCCTGTCTCAATCAAAATGGAACTGTATGAAATAAAACGGCACATTTGTGTTCTGTGAACGTGACGTATGGTAGCACACGTTGAAGATCCAATGGGGATACTGAATGGCGGTTCCGACTAATCTTAATCAGTAATGCATGACGCAGACCCAACGTTTCGTTGCTCTGATTGGCTGTAGGTCTATTCAAATTGCATTCAGAGGTATTTTGATCTGACCGCGGCCGTGCTGATATTATAACGCCAGAGAATTTCCACACCTTTAGTGTATAAAACTCCCCTATTACTTAGACTATTCCTTGCACCCCTCTTCTAGCATAACCCCGAATGGTCTCAACCATATTGCATCAGTAACGTGCACTTGTTGTTACAGCAGGATCAGTTTGTGTGTTGTGGACACGAACCGTATATTTTCGCAATCCGTGTTCTCAACATTTAGCATTTTGCTTATTATTTAATTTAATTTGCTTACTTTAACATCACTTTTCATGGTGGGGCTAAGGTGGGGCTAAGCCATTTCTTGGTATGGCTGTAGCCTACCCCAGCCATACCCTGGCGCCGCCACTGGCTCTGGGAAATTCTCTGTTTCAGATTTGTGGGCAGATTATCCCACTGTACTGCTGTATTAAAGGGAATTGTGCTTTTGCCCATTAGGCTGTTTAATCAGAAAGTTATAAAGTCTGTCAAGCTTTAATTTTCTTTTAATAGTTAATTGGCTGTCCAAAGTGTCTCTATGTTTTGGTGGTAGATTGTAGTAGCTGATAATTAGTTGGCTGTTGTGGTTGGGACAAAAATAATTTGGCAGTTTATTGCTTCTCTTGGGAACAATTAACCTCAAAAGGTCTTCCTGATGCGGCCCTAGCGCTCACAACTTTGTTGGCCCCTCTCACCTGCTGCGTCTCGTCTGACAGGCCACCATCTGTAATCCTCAGCCCATTCCCACAGTGTAAACCCTCGTGGTTCAGGATGCATTCCCTCATGCTGCACAGCTTGTGTTTGTAGAGGAGCTAGTTATTAGTTAGCCATCCCATTTTGTCTGCCAGTCCCAGCCCGCTCCTTACTGTCAGGGCTGTGGAGCAATATAGCCAACAACCAAATGAAAGAGGTAAAAGAGGGCTTTATTTAGGGTCAGAGCGGGACTTGCAGGGGGCTCTTGAGAATGATTGGTGATAGTGTGTGGGACAATATGACAGTAATAGGCTGTGTCAAGGCGTTATACAATGACACATGTAATAGCTGTCCCTTAACAAGAAGCTTGCCACCATGTCTGAACAGAGCTTTTTATCAGAACAAAAGCAAAGGCATCTTAAAGTCAGCTGGAAATTTGAAAAATCATTAAAATGAAACAGTCGATCCCCCGCTGTATATCTTAGGGGAAGTGTACTCTGTCTTCCCTTAATCACACACCATAAGACGGATTCTTTATTGTAGCCTGAAGGCATAACTTTCATCAAACGGTATCTGTTTGAGGAAAGTTCAAACAGATCTGGCAATTCTCGCCAGACCTTGATGCTGAGACACTGTCCGAATATCTAACTGAACAACTCGGCCGTGATGTTAACTGTCACCGTATTGACACTGCAAGCAGCAGATATAGCTCGTTTAAAGTGTGTGCTGAGTGCAATGAAGTTGCGGAGATGTTTAACCCAGAACTCTGGCCTGAAGGCTCAGTTGTGAGAAGATACTATGAACCACGTAAAGCGGAGGTGATAGGGGCTAGCAGAGCTAGACCTTTTGCTGGTGCGAGGGTACTGAATGGGGCTACGGCTGTACTGCTTAGCTAAACGTTATGCGGGTTGGATCATTTAACTGTCGCGGGCTGCGCCTGGGCAACAGCGCTGCTGATAGGATCCGACGTGTAGTGGTGGACAACTTGCTACAAAAATGTGACATTTTATGCTTGCAAGAAACTTTCTTACCAAAGCAGGACTTGGGAAAGTTGAACTCTCTTAATGACAATTTTCACGGGGCTGGTGAGTCCACTACGGACCTATCTCTGGGAATAGTGAGAGGAAGGATAGCAGGGGGCGTGGCTATCCTGTGGCACAAAAAGCTGGACACTGTCATTAATGTCATCAGGCTTGAAGTTGACTGGTGTATTGCTGTACAGATCAAAATGAATAACAAGGAGTTTAGCATTCTCAATGTATATACACCGTATGAGTCACAGCATAATGAAGATGAATACCTGAACAGACTTGCTTTTATACATTCTTTTATTGCTGATAATCATTCCACCAGTGTTTTTGTAGTGGGTGATATGAATGCTGACATATCAGACAAAAGGTCCTTGTTTGCTAAGCATATGCTACAGTTTTGTGATGATAACAATCTTATATTATCAAGCCAAATACTTTTGCCTACAGATAGCTATTCATATATAAGTGAAGCTTGGCATACAACTTCATGGCTTGACCATTGCATAAGCACTGCTAATGCCCATGACATTGTAAGATCAATTGAGATTGTGTATGAGGCATCAATGTCAGATCACATTCCTTTTATAATGTCACTAGATTATGATAGTCTCCCTGAGATGTCTCAGGAGGTTAAAAAGGCCTGTACCACTAAAGTGGATTGGTCCAAGCTCACAAATGAGGATAGGCTACTATGGGAGAACTGATGTCCTATTGAGTGATGTATATCTACCCAAAGTGGCAACTCTGTGTGTTGATGTGGGTTGTAATGAAAACTCTCACGTGAAGACCTCTGTAACATGTATGATTGTATTGTGGGAGCTGTATGGGAGGCCAGTAGACCATGCTGTACCTACTCTAGGAAGAGACACAACGTCAAGCCAGGGTGGAATAAACATGTGGCTGATCAATATGCTGAAGCCAAGAATGCTTTTGGGGCCTGGGTCCAGGCAGGTAGGCCCAGAGAGGGGCCTGTCCTGGATCTCAAAAAGCATACAAATGCTAGATATAAATATGCAGTTCGTTATATCAACAAACACACAGAAACATTGAGAGCGGACTCTATGGCTGAAAAGCTCCTTCATAATGATGTGACTGGCTTCTGGAAGGAGGTGAGAGCTCTGAACAGGGCCAGTACGTCATTACCGTGTACCATAGAGGGAGTATCTGGAGCCGATAACATAGCTGAGTTGTGGAGGCAACATTACTCTAATATACTTAATTGTGTTAAAAGTGACCCCTACAAAGTTGGTAATGTTGTGAAGAGTGACACAGTGGGAATCACAGCTAAAGAGGTTTATCGAGCAATTGCACAGCTAGCTGATAATAAAGCATGCGGCTCTGACCGAATCACTGCAGAGCACCTTAAACTGGCAAGCCCGAAGGTTGCAGTTCTTCTTGCCATTTGTTTTACCGGCCTCATGAATCATGGTATGTTGCCAGACTCCATGTTGACTGTTACTTTGGTCCCTGTCATTAAGGACAAAGCGGGCAAGGTAGGGAGCTTGGATAACTATAGACCAATTGCTCTAGCCAGTGTGTTATCCAAAGTCCTGGAAAGAATTTTGTTAGATAGACTATGTTCCTATTTATGTACCTCAGATAACCAGTTTGGCTTCAAGGCTAAGCATGGTACTGAGCTATGCATCTATGCTTTGAAAGAAATGGTAGAAACATATAGAAGACAGAATTCCACTGTTCTGATTGGTTTGATTGATGCCTCTAAGGC